ACATTAACTCTCACAATTAGGAAAGGAATGGGTGCTTTCAGTATACTAAAAAAATCTCATTATACTGTATATAATTCATTACATGATTTGTATGAATTATTTAATCAACTATTACCCAAAGTATCATATACAGAGGCAGATACCAAATATTGTTAGACCAATACTTGAAGGTGTTGCTTACTTGCATGTTTTAGAAATAGTTCATAGAGATTTAAAACCTGAAAATTTATTATTTAATGATAAATATAAGATTTTGAAATCTAAAAAATCTGTTTTTGACTGTGAACACTTGGGTTAGTGAAATATTCGCACCTGAAGTGTAATTCATGTGAATTTTAAATTCATATTGTGTGAAATTCAAATTAGGTTGTTTACTTCTTTGCTTTTAAATGCATAACAGAGTTGAATGTTGCTGGTTTTTTTTTGCGAGAATAAAGGTGATACAAATTACATGGGTGGCAAACAAATTACAAGCATTCATTCCATCTATTTTTGATATTAATTTAAGTGTGGCCTATAGAGCTGGGGATCCCCGCACCAAATTATCAAAGATTTCGAGATTGGAACGATTTATTATAGAAAGGTGAGATCTAATTCCTGGTTCGTTTCTAATTAGTTTAATTTGATCGAAAAACCAAGATTCAGCTTGTAATCAAAAACAATGGTAAAGCTCATTGATGCGATAGTTGTTCCACTATTTTGATTTTGCAACACGCTGTATATATAATAACTATTCTAATATTCTATTTTATTAACTCTTAACGAAAGATTTAATAGATAAAATGTTAATTTATGATACTTTAAAGAAAATAACAGCCAAGGAAGTATTGAAACGTTTTTTGTTTAAATCATCTAGTAAGATGATATTCTTGAAAATGTTAAAATTGATTTTCTAGAGAATCAACCAATCAAATAAATAAAGAAATTGAAGATTTCACGAAACAAGTAAATACTCGTATAGCTCTAAACATTTATCATAATTTATTTTTATTCAATAATAACAAATAATTATTATTAAGATTACTTATTTATTTATTTAGGGTCTCAAAGATTTAAGCAATAAAGTGATTCGCACACCACTAGCTCCTTCTGAAACTTTTTCAGATGATCCACTACGTATTTTACGGTGTATAAGATTTGCTAGTAGGTTTGGCTTTAAAGTTGTTGAAGAAATCATTGAAACTGCAAAAGAACAAGAAATTCAAGTAAATAACAATAACAACAACAACAACAATAGTGTCATTTATTATTATATACAATAATATTTATCTTGTGTTATTATCATAGAATGCATTGAAAACAAAAGTTTCACATGAAAGAATTGGAATAGAACTTGATAATGCTAAGTAGGCCGGATTTTTAAAGATGTAAGTGCGGTAAAGTTAATACTACACAGCCCAATCGTAATCATTATAATAATGATTACCGTTGAATTTTTTTAAACCCGGTTAAGAAACCGGGATGAAATTTCGCCGGCTGGATCTAAAGAAAATAAATAAAAAAATTGGTGTACCAAATTTTTTATCGTCTAATTTATTTTATTTATGAAAAATTTATTAAAATTCACATATAATAAAAGAAATCATTTGACCACTTTAATTAAATTGCCTTTAGAACATATCAACAACAACACTACCATTCACCAGTGTCATAATAACAATAAATTATTAACAAAATTTCGGTATCAGTCTTACACTGTTGTTACTAACACTAATAATAGCGTTAGAAACAATCTTACTCGCAAATCTATTATTACTTGTGTTAGTAACAACAGGGAAGGAAAAAGACCCATTTTCAGCTCCAAGAGAGAAATCGAATCAATGGCAACAACAACAGAGATTCGATTAACTGAAGAAGAAAATAAATTAATAGATTTATTGAAGGAAGTAACTGAATATATGAAAAAAGAATGTCCGGAACTTCCTCATGTGCAACTTAGAATAGCTGGTGGTTGGGTTCGAGACAAAGTAATTTCATGAAAATAAAGAAATAAATATTTTAATTTGTAAATAATCTATCTAATTCTTTTGATTTTATTCCCAAAAAAAGTTGCTAGGATATGAATGTGCAGATTTGGATGTGGCGATTGATAAAATGATGGGAGTAAAATTTGCAGAACAAGTGATAAATTATTTGGTGAAATTTAAGGACTATGATGAAAAATTTACACGTTTTCACAAAATTGATGTTAATCCTCAGAAATCAAAGCATTTGGAAACTGCCACAACAAAAATCTTTAATTATATGATCGATTTTGTAAATCTACGAAAAGAATCTTATGGTGAATTAACAAGAACTCCAACTAGTATTGTGTGTAATATATGTATTTTTTGATTGCTAATTTACATCAATATATTAAAAATATACATTCACCACATTATATCTACCACTATTTAGTCACTTGGAACACCCGAGGAAGATGCATTTCGTAGAGATATAACAATAAATGCATTATTTTACAACATTCACACCAAAGAAATTGAAGATTTCACGAAACAAGTAAATACTCGTATAGCTCTAAACATTTATCATAATTTATTTTTATTCAATAATAACAAATAATTATTATTAAGATTACTTATTTATTTATTTAGGGTCTCAAAGATTTAAGCAATAAAGTGATTCGCACACCACTAGCTCCTTCTGAAACTTTTTCAGATGATCCACTACGTATTTTACGGTGTATAAGATTTGCTAGTAGGTTTGGCTTTAAAGTTGTTGAAGAAATCATTGAAACTGCAAAAGAACAAGAAATTCAAGTAAATAACAATAACAACAACAACAACAATAGTGTCATTTATTATTATATACAATAATATTTATCTTGTGTTATTATCATAGAATGCATTGAAAACAAAAGTTTCACATGAAAGAATTGGAATAGAACTTGATAAAATGATTAAAGGTAGAATAAATATGTTTCCAATAACTTTTCACTTGTTCCTAATTCTCTTCCATTCAATTCATGCTATATTTTCTAAAAAAAAAAAATTTTTAGGTCCAGATCCAACATATTCAATTCAATTGATAAATCAAATGAATTTATACAACACAATATTTTATTCACCACCTGGAATATCATCTGGAACCAAAAAAAACCCAGATATTTCCATTCAACTTTGTAAAATATTGAAATGGATTTTATCATTATCATCAACGCCATCATCAACATCATCATTAGTTACCATTCATAGTGCTCTAATGGATACTTTACAATCTTCTAAAGATATCAGATCATTGTATTTAGCAGCATATTTATTCCCATTTAAAGATTTAATGTACAAAGAAAAATCAAAAGAAAAGCCCGTGATTTATTATTTGATTCATGAATGCTTAAAGGTAATCTTTCATAATGATGGTTAATATTGTTATTTTATAATATTTATAATGATTAAAAATAAAGTTTTTTTTCAGCAAAGAAATTTGGATGCAAAAGAAACCGAAAGAATTTTTTTAGCAATAGATCCTATAACTGATGCACTACGAAAAAATTTCAATACTCCATTAACCAGATCTTCACTCGGTAATGCATCTCTTATTATTACCTTTATTCTTTCATATTATTATATATTAATGTTAATATAATAATTATTGGATAGGTATGTTGATTTGTGATTATGCTAATTCAGAATGGAGGAAAATCTTGGTTTTTGTATTTGCTATTGAATTATTATCAAAATTTAAGGAATTGGAAATGGGTGAAGGTAAATAAACAAATATTGAATATTGAATATTTATTTATAAGCTTTTTTTTTATTATTAAGAAATTTAATTTAATTTAATTTTTGGGTGGTGGAATGAATGAATAATTAATAAAAAGTGGACAAATTAAATGAGATTATTCAAAAATACAATAAATTTATTGACAGAATCTTTGAATTAAAATTGGAAAAATGTTATGAACAAAAGCATCTTATTGATGTATGTATACATTTTCATATTCTATTACTAATTCTCACATTACTAATTTTCATTCATTATTTATTAAAAACATTTTTAGGGTAAAATTGTATCTGAACTATTAAATATTAAAGGACCTGATATAAAAAAAGTATTAAGATCAGTTATGGAATGGCAATTAGAGAATCCAGAAGGTACACCAGAAGAATGTAAACAGTTTATTTTACAATGAATTTATTTATGAATTTGCATGTAAATGAGATGTTTATATTGTGTTGTAAATTAGTCACCAATAAATAATTGTTGTAATTAAAAAATGTTGTAACATACTAAAAGATAAAGTCTATTTCTATCGAATGAAATAAAATTACATCTTCGATAAGCCGAGCTTTTGGGAAACACACAAAAATAGAATCTGCTTATCAAATTCAAATAAATTCGGCTTAAACGTATAAAATAAATTTCACAAAATTATTTTTAAACAAAAATATCAAGATTGTTGCATTGATCTATTACTCTTATGACTTAATGTTTTTTTCTAAGCATTTTCACATACATTGAAATCACTTGGAGGATATACTAGAACATTAAATAAATTTTCGACACCATTATATGTAATAAAAATTTCTGAAATAGGGTTCATTTATTCCTGTCAAGTCAATGCAATAAAATATCCTCGTTTTCCATTACTAATTCGCCCGCAACCATTATTTAAATACTCAAATGGGAGTTAGTCAATTAAATCTTGAATTTCACGATTTTCTTCAAATTTTCAGGTAAAATGCCAGTATGCTACCAGCAATTTTTTATTATTGATGACGTTACATACTTTTTTTGATAAAGCAATAGCATCATCATATATTGTACTAAAGTAATTGGTTTTCTAATACATGAGCTACCTCATAAGCCTCAATGCAATTATGAACCAACAATTTTTTATAATGTGCTTGAAAATAATGAATAATTACTGGTTGTAGTAAAAAATCTTTGCTTAAAGTATTTAAAATTTCATGAGAATGTCATATTGACCAATAATAAAACTTTTCTCTCTGAGAATGTATTCTTTATCAAGTTTCCATAGATAATCATTCCACATTAATATACTGCGACTTGTGTTTTTCCGAATACACCCACCCTCTTCTGAGATTATTCGGGGACCTACCTCGGGGTGATAAGAATTTCCCCTGATTTATTATTGATCGACGTTAATAAAATTTTACAAAAATGACAACCTCTAGTGACAATACTTTTAAAAAGCAACAAATAATTCTATTTACTCAGGTTGGCAAATTTAAAATTTATTTTTGTATCATAAAAAGAAGAAGGAAGAACTTTTAACTTTTATTTGAAACATTGATTAGGTGAAACCAATATGTACCTCACTTATGCAGGCTAGATTCCAAACACCTTTGAATCTTCAAGATATTATTCAAAAAATTATTTTACTAGATAAAACTATTCAAAATACACCCAATTTTTTTATAATCAGTGATTATAAATTAATTGAATACATTACTCTTCCTTTGTTTGAGTTATATAGTGTAAAAGAATTATCAAAATGTGATAGGTTTCTTGAAGAGTATTTAAATTGCCTTTCTACTTTGTTATTATCTGGATGGCAAAAATTCATAAATTCTGACAATTTTCTTCAACTTTTCATTATGTTTATGAAAATTATTGATGGAATATCTGATGAATCAAGTTCAACCAATGATGAAAAGCAACAACAGCAATTACAACAGATAAATATGAACAAGAAAAATTCTGTCAAAAATCAAATGATATCAGAAAATACTAAATTAGCTTGTGTCAAATATTTGCTTGCTTTACTACCTAAGCCATCAGATCAAAACAAATACAAAGTAAGTCAAGAAGAATATTTTAAAATTCTACAATATAGAGAGTCAATATTAGATGATATGAGAGGAAAATCTGTGTTAAATGCATTAGTTGGTCGTTGTGTTTATGTTTTGTTGGAATATGTTGTTGAGGAACGACTGCTTGAGTTGAGAGTGACAACACTAGAAACTATAAAAAATTTAATCATTTGTGTTAATAATCCAGCAATTGTTGCTGTTTATTTACCAGGAGTTGTTAGTAAATTGAGTACTCTAATAGTTATTGAACAAAAAGAAAACCATTTGTTGTTAGAAAAAGCTGTTGAAACACTAGCTGAAGTCATTTCTATTGTCATGTTGGATGATGATACTATCAATAAGGGATTGATATCTAAAAATGAGTCAATTAGTGAATTGAAAAAAGTCATAATTAACGAGTACAATCAAAAAAACAACAATTCTCTTAAAACTGAGAATTCAAAGAAATTCGATCAATCAAAAACATCAACAGCTACTGATATTAATACTAATATTAATACCAATGGTGGTGGTAGTAATTTTAATAATGGTGGATTTATTTGTGTTGAAAGAAATTTATCTTGGTTGAAAGCTACTAAATCACAAATTAAAATATCTATTGCTAATACTCTTACTATTCGTAATCATCCATCATGGAAATTGCGTTTAGCTTTTGTTAACTTTTCATACAACTTACTTTCAAAATGTTCAAAAACTTTGGATAATTGTGTTCCGTTGTTAGTTGAAACTTTGGTAACATATTTAAATGATGAGTATGAACAGGTTTCATGTCTTTGTCAAATACATTTGGCAACTCTTCACAATGATTCAAAAATTAAAGATTCTTTAAAACTTATAATGAAAGAAAGCTTTAACACTTGGCTTACTTCATTGCCAAGATATTTAACTGGACTGGATGAAAATGCAAAGTATAATGTATTATCTTTATTATCAGGATTTATTTTATTTTTAGGATCTGATATTCAAGGTGTACTCAATTTGACCCTTGAAAGAATATCAGATGGTCTGCTTAAAGCCTTAGAATTTGACATCTGTAATACCAATATTATAGAAGGTAAATTATTAACAGGACAATATGATAGTATTTCACACGATAATGATAATGATAATGATAATGATAATGATAATGATAATGATAATGATAATGATAATATTAATCATGCTGATGTTGATGCTAATGCTGATGATGATGCTGATGATGATGCTGATGATGACAATGATAATTTACAAATTTCTTGTCAGGTTCCACTAAAACCTTTTCTTATGCCACATTTTAAACATATACATGAACAACATGTAATCTTTTTTTTAACAAAGTTTATTAGATTATTAGGATATTATGGAAATATACATTTTTTAATTGACTTTTTTCTTTTATACATCGGAAATAGAGATTTCATAAAATTTCATCCACAAATTTTGTTTATTATAAATGAACTTTTACTTGGATCTGCTGGGATAAATTTAAAAACAAATTTAAATGATTTGATTGTGATGACACCAGCAAACAAATTAGAAGAAATAAAAAATGTAGCAAGTTCTTTATTAAGAGAATATATTGAGTTGGATGCTATAAATAATAATAGTGGTAGTAGTGGAAATGGTGTTAATAATACTTTGAATTTAAATGAGCTAGTTAAAGCTGATAAACATGTTGATCTTTTAAAATCAAAGACAAAAAATGAAATAATTCAAGATTATTTATTAAGGAACAATAGTACTAATGGTAATAGCAGTGAAATTTATGAGCTTAGCATTGAATTCCAAAATACAATTATCTTAATCAATTGTATGGTATTAAAGGGAATAGCATATATATCTCAAATTATGAAAATAGATTTTAGATTTGAATTAATTGATGCATTATATTTGATTTTAGAAAAAATGGGAAACAAAAATTTCATGATTCACGATACAGCAGAAACAACCCTATCAAATGTTTCAAGTTGTTGTGGATATAATTCCAAGAAATCATTGATATTTGAAAATATTGATTATCTTATTAATATCATATCAAAAAAACTCAATCAAATCACATTAAATCCCCAAACACCACAAGTATTAATAGCTATGTTAAAAATAGTAGGAGCGCCATTGTTGGCTTATTTGGATGATACCATCGAGGAAATTTTTGATGCATTGGATATGTTTCATATGAATGAATTAATCTTGGGTCAATTATTGACATCATTATATACAATTGTTTCCATTATATCAGATAATGATAATGAAAATTATTTAAAGGAGGAAGGTGAAAAGGATAAAGAAATAAATGGCAATAATAAAAGTGACAATCATAATGTATCATTTGAAATTCAAGAATTTATAAAAAATTATAATTTCTATGAAAAAAAAGGAAATTCTGCTACTAAATCTCAAGAGAATCTAACCCTTGATGAGATTGGTCGTTACTTTTTGGAACGTCAAAAGGAAAAAAATGATAATGATCTTGAGGGAGAATCAGAAAGTGGTGGATTGGAACAACTTGAGGAAATCGTTAAACAAGAAGAAGAAAATCTTAAGGACTCTCATGACAACAAAAACAATAATGATAGTGGTAATAAGAGTTTAACACATTCACAAACATTTTGTCTTAAAATTATTGATAAATCATTTCATATTCTCGCATCTCCATCTCCACGATTACGTAAATTAATCCTTGACATTATAAGAATATCTTTACCTGTGCTAAAATCAAATCCTCAAAAAATGGAAACATTGGTTCATCAAATTTGGCCATCTATAGTTAACAGAATGAAAATGGAAAATATGACGGTGACAACAATAACAAATAAAAAAGAAGAGTCTTATGTTATTCTTAGTGCAGTAGAACTTGTACAAACAATTTCAATTTGTTGTGGCGAATTTTTTACTAGTCGTGTAGTAAATGATGTTTGGCCAATATTTAAAAAATTATTGCAACAGCAATCATTGATTGATCAAGAATATTCGGAATTGATGAAATCAACTTTTTCAAATTCACATTATTTAAAAATATCCATATTGTCAACAATAAAAGTTATAATAAATCAAGTTAAACTATCTAATGAGATTTTATGTGACATAATTGACACGATGTGGATCTTTCTAAGTGATCAGTTTCATGAAGAAATACAAGAATTGGCAAAAGATTTATTTATAGAGTTGTCATTTAAAAGTCCCGATGCTACTTGGTTGTTGCTGCATGGTATTGTGAAAGACCATTCAAAAATCATTTATCATTACAAAGAAAAATCATCAAATGATTCATCTGTTGTTCTATTAGACGATATAGATTTTCCCGATTATTTTACTAAATCTTCAAATAACAAAAATAATTTTTCAAAAAATGCAAACTATATATTGAAATTAATTCAATAAAATATTTTCCAATAAAAATAAATTGAAAATTAAAATATGTAAATATTTATTTATTTATTTATTCTTTACTTTCACATCATCGTTATCTTCTACCTCCTCCTCTTCTTTGTCTAATGGAGCCACACCAACTCCTGACTTTCCAATAATAGTTCTGCCAGGACCAGGTTAACTTTCTTGGCTTTGAAGCTCTCTAATAAATCTGTTACAAGATTTAATGTTAATTGATCCATCTAATTCTTTATCATCATCATGTAAATCATTCTTTTTAGAATAGATATTGAGCTCATTATAAGAATTTACTAATTCAGGTTTTGGTTGATTTGATCTGGATAAATGATTTAGGAATGTTTGTATTTGAAATTTCATGATCTGTGAGATTTCATATCAAAATCACCATCATCATCACTATAAACCATATTTTTGATAGGTTTCAAACTTTTTAGTAATGATATAATATGTAAAAATTCTGCTCCAATAATTTTTTAAATGAATAAACTATCAATTGAATGCATTTTATGAGATTGAACCCCTGAAATTTTTTTGACAAGTAAAAATTAATTAATTCATGATACGTGATAGATGGGGCAAAAATGTGTAAAAATCGATTAATTGAAAAACTTCTCTCCAATATAACAAAAAAAAAATTTTTTTCATTTAATAAAAAAAAACAAATTTCACTATCGGGTATCTCTGGATTTTTGAAGTTAAAAAAAAATTTTTGTGTAATTTGTGATACAAATTTAGGACTGATCTACTGTTTCAACCAATCAATTAACAGATTCGTCAACACTGGATTTACAAAAATGAGACTTTTTATTATTAAAAATGTGCCGATCATCTACTTCAATCACATATCATGAATTAAATAAGTTTTTTATAAATAAATCTTTTAATATGTTCCTATGCCTCCATGGCGCAATCGGCTAGCGCGTTCGGCTGTTAACCGAAAGGATCCTGGTTCAAATCCAGGTGGGGGCGAGTAACCTTTATTTTGAAGTCATTCTTTTTTACAAACATGTATATGGTAATAACAGCATACATGCACACATGCATACACGCACACAACATTTCTAAAATAATAAAATATTTATTCATTTATTAAAAATTGCAATAATAACGTTATAATACATTTGTTAATAAATTGGCTCTTAAATTAGGTTTTAATTTGCTTTTTTCCATTTTCTGTTTCAACGCTTTAAGCATCTGTTGTCTTTTTAGTAAACCCTCGGCAGCAGCATAACTTAAAACACCAGAAATCAATTCTATACCAGTAACAGAATCATCATTAGCTGGTATAGGCCAAGTAACTTTTCTAGGATCAAAATCAGTATCCACAACCCCAATTGTTGGGATATTACATACTTTTGTCTCTTCCAATGCTATAGAATTTTCCAACGGATTCAAGAAAATTATCAAATCAGGTTTAAAAACCTTTGATATGAAATCCCCAGGTTTTTTATGAATCAATTTTCCTAAAATTTGTTGAGTATTTGTCAGGGTGCCAGGTATCCAACGTTTAGAGATTTGATATTGTTGACAAAATCTTGCTGCTTTGATTGTCGCTTTTGAAAATTCATCGCCACGTGTTCCCATAAAAATAATTATACCACCACGATAACTAACTTCCTTAACAATTTTACATGCTCTACGTAAATAAATTAGTGTATAGTCTAGATTTATGATGTTTATACCATGTCTTATTCCATAAATAAATGATGAATTTATTGGATTCCATAGAGTGCTTGAATGTCCTAAATGAAGATTAGCTGACATTAATGTTGAAAGTGTTAATTCATAAGGTGTTAATGTGCTTTTATGATCGTCAAGATTTACTTTGACGGATCCAGTGGTTTTAACAAAATCTGGTACTAAAAATAAATTATTAATTAATTAATAAAATAATATATATATATATATAATAAATATATAAATCCAAGTATAGATATGCCCACACGCACGTTAAAATATTTCAATTTACCATCATCAAAAGTATTTAATACATTCTTCTTATCAATGTTTTCATTCATAGCATTTGTATATCTTCTTATTAATTCTTGTTGTAAACTATTATATTCTGAATCTATTATTGGTTGATTCTGATCAATTTCTTTGGATAAATTTTTTATTTTATCATTATCATTAATATTTTTAGGCGTGGTAGATGTAATGAACCTTTTATAATTAGAATTATGATAATAATTTATTACGTTTGATAGGGTTGGTTTGATGTTAATAACTAAAAATAAATGACAACTTTGATTTTAGTTTTACGAATTTGTTTAATTTTAAAAAATTAAATTAATGTCGATTTGATTAAAGCACTTACAAGAAAATTTGGTTCCATTTTTATTATTAAAATATTTAAATTTATTATTATAAATAATTTTTTTAATAACCATAATCTATTTTTTTTTATCTTCAGGAAATTATTTTGATCAGATATGAATTTGTGCGACATTTGGGACAAACAAATTTTTTTTATTCTGTAAACCAACATAATTATTTATAAATTACCCTCTTGTTCAAAATTAATATGTCATTGATTTATTACATATTTATTTAGCATTAATACATTACAATAAAATTTTTTTAACAATTAAAATTTTTTTAATTTTAATTTTCATGATATTTTGATAGTTTAGAGCCTTTCATTATTTCTGCCGTTTGTTTATATATTTCCTCAGAGTCTGGTCCAATAGGTAATAATTTTTTATTAAACAAATAAATTTTTTTAAAGATCTTTATCATATCGTAATAAGCAACCTGTGAATTATTATCATCAGCAATACTATTTCCTGGTTGGCTGTTTATTTCTAATTTATCTATAATGCTACTCAATGATGATGTTTCAATCAGTTTGTTGTTATTTCTTTTTTTCATAACCATGATTGGGTTTTCCAATTTAACAACTTGTCCTTCTAATTTCCAATCTCCAATTACAATCTGTGGTATTCCCTAAGAATTTTAACCCAAAAAAATTTTTTTAGTATCCAAAAATAAAACAAAATAAAATATTAATTAAATGTATATTAACATACTTCTTCGTTGAACGTCATTGGACCAATTTCTAAACCATTTATTGGATTTTCATGACCATAATTATCAAAGTCTCCCTGAAATTCAAACAAAACAATTCCTTCTTCCTCAAAATTTTGGACCGGTTCTGCTGGTTCAAGTTTCACCTTTATTTTTACACTTAATAAATCATCGACAGATTCTTCTTTTACCACTCTTGGCGAGTACTTTGATTTATCTTTATACTCATCTTTTAAGGAATTGATTGGTACGATAAATGTTCTAACCATTTTATTTTAGGAATTTTTCCTCGTTGCTTGCTTGATTAATTAATTATTGATTGCTGAGGTGGTAACGCGAAAAAAAAACCATTTAATAAAATCGTGAAACGTTAAAATTTACGCGAATTTGCAAAAAAAAAGTTTGGGGACACAAGCTTCGAATGGAACAAATACTGCGTAAAATTATTTTTGAATATTAAAGATTGCTATATATACAAATATTAATATATCACACAGAAATGAAAAATAATATATATATATATATTTTATTTAAAGCTATACCACCAACCAAAGATATATAATGATTAAATATCGTGTTGTTGTTTTTGATGATATTTGAAATGAGATTCTCTAAGATAAGATTTTTTACATCCTTTGACATTGCAAGCAAAACGTTTTTCGTGAGTAATTTTATTTTGGTGATATTTTAAACCACTTCTATGAGCAAAGCTTTTCTTACATCCGTTAATATTACAAATAAAAGGTTTCTCTCCTGTGTGAATTCTTTGATGAGACTTTAAAAAACTTTCCTGAATGAATTTTCTGTCACATCCTTCGAAATCACACTCAAAAGGTTTTTCTCCACTATGTGTACTTTTATAATGATATTTTAATCCTTGCGGATTAGAAAAACTTTTCTTACACCCTTTGACATCACATATAAATGGTTTTTTCAGGGATTTTTGGCTACAATTATGATCTAATTTCTTGGAGTGATTCCTCTTATTGTCATCACGATCTCTCTTACTTTTTTTCTTTTTTCTTTCCCAAATTTCTTTTCTTTCTTTACTATCTTTTACTTTTACTACTGCTGCTAAATTATTCTCTACTACTGCTTCTGTTGTCTCTGATTTATTGTTCACAGTCTTCTCAATATCTTGTGTTTCTTTTAGCACAATAGGTCCTACTTTGTCTGTAATTGAATGTGAATGCTTTGAATGCTTTGAATGTTTTGAATATCTTGAATGTTTTGATGAATGCAAATGTAATTTTGTTTTTGAGTGAAAAGCTTTATTGCACACTTTACATTTATATATTTTGTCACTTTTATGTTTAAATCCGTGTTTTAGTGACCCATGCTTACTAGAAAAGTTTTTATTACAATGATGTATTTTACTCTTATAAGGCTTCATTCCTTTATGCCTAACAGTTTGATGTCGTTTCAATGAACTATCTTTCTTAAAACTTCTAGTGCACCCAGGATAATTACAAGGAAATTTCATATTTTCATGTTCATTAACTTCATTAGTTGTTAATTCTTTCACTACTTCTTCCATCACACCATCAACATTACGACTAATAATTAATCCTTTATGTGTAACAGTTTGATGTCGTTTCAATGAACTTAATTTCCTGAAACATCTATTGCATCCAGAATGTTCACAAGGAAATTTCATATCTTCAGAATGTTCATTGATTGTTAATTCTTTCGTCACCACTTCCATCTTTCCTCCATCATGAATAATTATTCCTCTATGTGTAACAGTTTGGTGTCGTTTCAACGAACTTTCTTTCCTGAAACGCCTATTGCATCCAAAATGTTGACAAGGAAATTTCATATCTGCCTCATTATCATTAACGTTCATCACATTAGATACTTCTCCCATCCCTTCACCGTTTTCAAGGATTATTCCTTTGTGTGTAACAGTCTGATGTCGTTTCAATGAACTTTCTTTCTTAAAGCTCCTACTACATCCATAATGTTTACAAGGAAATTTCATATCCTCAGAATGTTCATTATTTTGATTGATTGTGCTTGTCAATTCTTTCACATTCACTACTTCTTCCATCTCATAATCATAATCATAATCGTAATCATAATCATAATCATCATCGTCATTATAATCGTAATCATCATCATCATCATCATCATCATCATCGTCGTCGTCGTCGTCGTCATCATCATCGTCGTCGTCGTCGTCGTCGTCATAATCATTAATAATTTCGTTTTCTTCTTCATTAGAATACAAATTAGTTATGTCGTCAAAATTTGTTATTGGGTGTAAACTTATGAAACTTTTAAACGATTCTGGAAATTCATATTTTTTTGCAACGTTTAAATCACTAAAACTATACAACAGAACATGTTTATTTTGTTGTTGTTGTTGTTCTTTGCAATCATCTTTTAAATCTTTTAATTCTCCATTAACATCTATGTTCTTTCCAATTTCTCTATCTGAAAAAACTATAGTTTCCTGCTCGTTTTTCTCCTCGTCTATCACTTTTTGATTCCTTATTTCATTATTGCTATACATTATTCCAACACTATCACTTTGACTATTATCATATGAAACATTATTTTTCTCCCTTTCCCCGTCATTTGAATAGTAATCCATTTCTATAAGTAATAGTTAATTAATTAATTAATTAATTAATTAAAAAGGTTAAAAAGGTTATAATTTTGTTTATTTTGTTTATTTCAAGAATTAAATTATAAATTGACTTTACTTAAAGATTCCTTTTTATTGTGATTTTTTCCCAAGAAATGTTTCTTCACTTTCATTTTTTAACCCCCCAAAAAAAAAAATCTGCAAATCAAGATTTGATCGACATTAACAAAAAAAATTTTTTTCAAAATACACTAAAAAGAACAATTTATATATATTATATTACCCGTGTCCATTATGCAAAAATGTTTGCAAATATGTTAAATTATTATTCTGATAAAAAAGTTTAATAAAAATTAGATTAAAACAACTTGAGAACTTTTTTAATTGATTGATTGATTGATTGATTGATTAATTAATTTAATTAAAATTTTATTTTATTAATTTACTGTCAAGCATTTTTGTGCTAATATTATTCATATTCTTATTCTGCGAATTGTTAATCACTGAAAAAGATAAAAAGATAAATTAATAATTTTAGTATTATGATTTTATTTCTTTTTGAAAAACTAATTACATTTCTAACCAAAAATTTTTAAATAATAATCATTTAAGTTGGCTAATATTTCCATTACCAAAATCTATCTTCACATGTTCCAACTTTAGAAGATGTTAATTACATGGATTTAAATTCAGAAAATACTTTTAGAAACTAATATTAATAATGATTATGATAATACTATCTAATAAATAAGTAATAATGGAAACCAAATAGAAGGCGATTCTTTATTATTTGGAGAAGATCCATTATTTGATTTAATTCCTACTTCTTTAATTATTTAAAATACATAGTAATAACAATAGTAATTAAAAATATCAACAAGACTATTTCAGTAAAAAGCAATGTAGTACACTTTATTATGGAATTGTGACAATATTCACCTAATATCAGAAAATATGAAAATGTGTAGTTGAAGTTTTAATATGGGTGTTGAAATATGACTGCACAAGGTGTATCTTTTTGAAAAATTATCTTCAATATACAAACATTCTCATCAATTGATAATTGGTCAAATTGCAAACATATTCCTATGAATATTAATATACAATAATAAATTCTATGGGTGAAAATTTACTCTTCAAAGGATCTATTATATCCCTATTCAAGCAAAGAAAGCCAAAAAGATCGCACAGTTCCACTTTTGAATCAATCAGGCACAGGAATTAGATCAATACTACATTGTTAAAAGGAGATCCAAAGGGAAAACAAGCTTCTTCTCCCGAAAAAAACACTCTTTTCACTTGTGACAGCACTCATTGTTTGCAATTCTTATTCACCTGACCAAAATATGTACTGTATGATGCAATTAATTCTTGCATTTTTTCAATAATAATATTCTCTTAATTCGTGATACGTGAAACAACTGCAATAATTTCATAATAGAATTTGGCGCAAATTTTCGCAGATTAAGATCACTAATTGAAATTTTCCGGAACCCATACTTCATTCCTAAAAAACTACTATTTATACGAATTTATAAATTGTATTTGCAAATGTAATAAATAATAAGAAACCCAAAGTTTTAATATACAAATTTTCAAAGGGACTTTCTTATAAAATATTTTATCTTTATATGGAGGGACCACTGGATTCTTGCCTAAAATTGCTATATAAAACTTAAGATTCAAGTATAATATTTAATTATTTATTCAAGAAAAAAAATATAAATAAGCGTTTGTAATTAGTTTTATTCAAAAAAAAAAGAAATATAAATAGATGTTTGGTTACTTTGAAAAGTTTAAATTTTAAATTTTTATGTCGCGCGTAATCATGCTTAATCACGTGAGGGACGGTCATATTCCAAAAATTCTAAAAATTATCATCACCACAAAATTATACTAATGATCGGCAAAATTTTGCAGTTGTCTCGGAGCACGAATTAAAAGAAAATCTACGATTAGGTTTTTTTAAAATAAATTCTTTGTGATACAAAATCTTATTGCATCATTTTAATATTATACATAAAGGTAAATATACAATTAATTAAACAAATTGTTGTTTTTAACTAGTGTTCCATGCCGCAACCCAAAAAAGGAAACATAATGGTCATAAAGGCGGTTGCAACCAGCAGTTACAATCATTTTTATATGACGCAAAAGTGGTAGCAACCATCATCAAAGTTGCGGCCGGTATCCTTATTTTTAGCTAACCTAGTTAGTATACTAAAAATGTTTTCCTTTCACTGCGCAATTCCTTTTCCTTTGGTACAAATAATTAGCAATAATAGTAATTCTTCTGCAATAGAAAAAAAAAGACATTTATCATAAAGGTCTGGGCCTTGTTTTATTTCCAAAAATAATTTCTAAACATTTTGTTCAAAAACTGTTTTATTGGATATTAATAAAATAAATAAAAAATGTAAACCGTTTGTTTTTACAACCTGATATAAATTATATTTTTACTACAAAATTGAGAATATTTGGATGCTAAGGCTCTGTAACAAATAAAATAAATAAGCTATAGAAAAACAAAAAAATGATAGAATTAATCTCAAAGAATAGAAAGATATTTTGTCCCCAAAACTAGAAAGACCATCAACTTGTAATTCGAACAAAATTTAACAACTATGATTATATTTGCGTCTTAACTTGATGAAATCTTGTTCCAATTCAGTATATTGTTGATTTATCGTCATAATAGAATCTTTAAACATTGAGAGACGACCAGAGATTCTTAAAATTAAAAGGTCATCATCATTATTATAAATTGTAGGTGATGACGTAAACGAGTTATAAAGAGGTTGTTGTTGTTGTTGTTGAGGCAAAGCTTGGGTTGTCATCATCACGTTGTTATTGTTTTGGTTATACTGACCATAACTTTGAATTTGCTGGTGGACGTAATTTTGAGCTTGCTGAATTTGCTGTCCATAACTTTGTTGAGCTAGATTTTGAGGGCGTTGCTGAGAAATATCGGAATTTTGAATCGGTTGAAGAAGAACTTGATCGAGACTTGTAATTTGTTGGAATTGTTGACTATCTTGGTTTTGGTTTTGTTGATAATTAAAAGTCATTTTGTTTTATTTGTTTTTTATAAATTTTTTATTAAAAAAAAAAAAAAGAAAAAGAAAATGATAAAGTCAACTCATTTATACAAAAAACCTCCAAGTGGTGACAATTTTATTAAACAGGTTTGTCAAATAATCACCACCAGAAAAGTAAAATGCTATTATGTATTTGTTGCACAACAGATTTATACGCACGACATATCAACAAAATGAAGGATTTAACTTTGTAGAGAAGCATTTCCATTTTTGGAAGAGTCAAAGGATCTGCAAGACCGCAGGGACTAAACCATTTGTTTATTATTATAATACCACATTTTGGTTTCAAATTATATTTATTTTTTTACAAAATCTAGTCCTTATTATTAACAATAGAATATCTATTTATTCGGAAACATACCAAATAATACTTTTAATAAAATTAAATATGTTTATTAACGAATGCCTAGTCTTTAATTCACGTTCAAAAAAAAAAAAAGGTTTTCGCATTCATTATGATTAATTTAAAAACAAAAAAAAAAGGGATAACAAACAACGAGTAAGAAAATCAAGAAACAAATCGAGAATTGAAAAAGCAAGTATTATTATAACTGTTATTTCGTTTAGTTCAAACTCTAGTTATTATATATATGTTATGTTGAGAATAATCTTTTTTTTAAAAAAAAACAGTTTAAATATTTATAAACTTGTTTAGAGCGGATGATTCTAACGAACATAATGGCAATATTGCAGGTCCCTCAATCAATAACAATATAGACCCTTCCATTGATGATAAAATAAATGTGGTGGTGATAATGCAATAGGCACTTTTAACAAAGAAGATGGATGATATTGTTAGAGTTCCTTCGATCAATAACGATAAAGATTCTTATATTGACGATAAAAATTTTCAAATAAAGATGATAATGATAATGCAACAGGCGCTTCTAATAAAAATAATGGTATTGTTACAGTTCTTTCGATCAAGAACAATGAAAATTCTTCTATTGACGATAAAAATGATATAAAAGATATTTTAAATGATGATAATGACCTAGTACGTGCTTTTAATGATGATTATCTAGTGTGTACTTCTAATGGAGATAGTAATATTGTCCCAGTCCTTCGATCAATGACGATAAAAATTCTTCTGCTGATGGCAATAAGAATGAAGATAAGGATGCGTCCGATGATGATAATGATGATGTTGTTGTTGCAGGTCCAATTTCTTTAAATGATGAATCTCTAACAAACTACACCATCTCCACAGACCCATGCCATATATAATAGATGGCCATTTAACCTCAGAAGTAGTGAGGTCAATTTTAGGAGGTAAATAGTGTTGAATATCACTTCTTGCCAAATATCTTTGGAATTGACCTCAATACTTCTGACGGATATATTGTTTTTAAATAAAAAATTGATTTTAACTTTTCAGTAATTTCACTCCGCCGTACCGATTCTTCGCTGTATAAAATTATAGCAGTTCGTAAATCCTTAACGATTTCCTTTAATAATTTGCTTTTATAGTTTATAAAATTAAGCACCATGATTACAACAAAAGAGAATTCATTATTATCACTGGAAATTTGGATTAACTTTTCTTGCTTAATTTCTTATATCTTGGAGAATATGATCGACAGGACAAATTGTGAAGCAACCAACACTTCCAAAATACTAATTGTACAATTTATTCATTTCTTAACAATTAGTAATTATTGAAACAAATAACAATGTTTATTCTTTTCTAATTGCTCTCTCGCTAATGCTGTATAGTAAGAATGATATCAAAGAACTCTTTTAATTTCTTATTGTTAAAAGGATACTCTCATAACCTTTGATTTAGTCAAACATCGTTTCAATGAATCCCATTTCAACAAATTACAATTAAATTCACGTTACAACGAATTTTTAAAATTTTTGCTTCACATATAAAATCATATAAATCGCGATTAGTATTTGGTATAACGAATTTTAAATGCAATTTTTTTATGTGCCCATAGGTTCCTTGAAACGAGGTTTGACTGTATTTGTTGCAATCAACTCATAAAGAAACACTAAGATTCTTCCCGCACAGCTGAATTCCACAACCCTGATTTAAATAATTGAAAAAAAAGCAACAACTTATATTATTCGACATTTAAAATAAATGAATAATAATATCACTAGCTTTTTCAATTTTTATTATGTATAATATTATAATAAGTCTTCTTTATATGAATACATATGTTGGGTATTAAGTCTATAGAAAATGCCTTCGTCTAAGAACAACATTTCTATAAGAACATTTTGAACTATATTTTTTTTTGTTATATAAAAATAAAACTTACATTTATATTGTAATTAAAGGACACCAGCTTCGGCTGCAACTTTTGATGATGGTTGTAACTAATTGCGGGCTGTTTTTTAATTGCGACAGGTATCCTTTAATTGTATTAAAAAAATTTCTGTAAAAATTATTATGAAAATTAATAATACTGATTCAACCTTTTCTGTATGCTATTTTTCATGGTAATAGGAATTCGATTCCTATTCTTCTTGTAAGCAGCACCGATTTCATCATCTTTAAATTTATTTGGATATTTACAAATACAAATTTCTGATTGGCTCCAAGTTACACAATTGGATTCGAGCCAGGAGATTGGCTTGGCCAATTTTTACTTTATTTGTATTGATTCAACTTTTGACAGTGAATTGAAGCATTGTCATCCCGGGACAAACATCCCCCATTGTCAAAACCTTTATAGAGGGAATAACTCCAATTCAAATATTTGAATATAGTCTAGTCTAGCTATTCGTTTTGTAATCTTCCTATGTCATATTTTGTGTCAGGTGTTCTTCAAGCACAACCTATCCATTGTAAATCTGTTTTCGTCATTCCCACATCACATTTTTCCACTTTCTAAAAGACGAATCCCTTGTTTCGATACACCAATCTAAATGGTTAATCATATGCTGTTCATTAAATTAAAGGTTTAGATACAGGAACATGAGAATAAATATTTAAATCGTGCAAACTTCTTCTAATAGGTTTGGTTGAAATCTGTAAACCTGTATTTTCATCAAATTGGGTTTTCAAATTATTTTTATGATATCCACTCCTTGGTAGTTCTTCTCTCCTGGAAGTTTTATATTGTTCCGACTACAGTTATTCTTGCAAAACCAAGTGATTTAGAAAATATGTGAAATAGTATTATTGTCTTTGTAAAGTGTAATTACTTCTACATTTTGTTTATTTGATTTCTAAAATGTTACAATGTCATTAATTTTTTTAAAAAAATCTAAACATATAACACGTTTTTTCAGGACGCAAGCTATAACATCCTAGAATTTCAGGTATGGTCATTATACAAGTTTTTGGGCAATTGATTATTTTTTGGCAGACATTTCTGGTCAACATAAAAAAGAACACACATAAGAGGCAAACAAGATAAATATGCATCATTCATACCCAAATCGCCAAATAGTTCTTTTTACAGGATGGATTAAATGATTATAATAAAAGTTGGTATTTGTACTCATACATGACATATACTTGTATCGTATATACCTGTATCATACTTGTACTTACTGTCGAGCTTAAAGGTAAGCATGTGTTGATTGTCTAATTACAATTTATCGTTACATGAGTATCTTGTAACAAATATTTAATTAATATCATCATTATCATGTAGCCAAAATTTTAATGACATCTAGATTTATGCACATCGAGTCAGCTTTTGTAACAAATCTTTTGTCACATCCAAATACATTACATTCATAGTTTTTTATTCCAAGATGACGTCTTGTATGTATTCGTAACTCACCACTTTGACAAAATGCTTTTGTACATCCTGGATATTTACATTTGAAAATTTTTATTCCGAGATGAAATCTTGTATGTTTTTGTAATTCATCATTTAGACAAAATGCTTTTGCACACCCTGGATACTCGCATTTGTAACGTTTTTATTCCAAGTGATATCGTGTATGTATTTGTAATCCACCATTTCGATAAAAATCACTTGTACATCCTGGGCATTCACATTTGAAATTTTTTATCCCAAGATGACGTTTTGTGTGTATTCGTAATTCACTATTTTGGCAAAATGTTTTTGCACATACTGGATATTCACATTTGCAATTTTTTATTCCAAAATGATATCTCGTATGAGTTGTTAAATGGCTTTTATGAGCGAATGCTTTTGTACATCCTGGATATTCATATTTGAAATTTTTTATTCCTAAATGAGATTTGTATGAGCCTTTAAATTTCCTTTTAGATAAAATGCTTTATTACATCCTGGATATCCACATTTGAATTTTTTTATTCCAATATGAATACTTTTGTGTTGATGTAAATTACTTTTGGTGGAAATTTCTTTGCCACATCCTGGATATTCACATTTGAATTTTTTTGTCATGATTTTACTGTGTCTGTTAAGTAAAGTTCTATCACTGAAATATTTACCACAGTTTAAGGCTGTACAAAAAAATCCATTGTTACTTTGATCACTGTTTTCGTTGCCATCCTCGCTATCGATTTAATCATCATTGCCAATTTTGTTATCACTATCTTCATCTTCATATATTTCAATTTCATTATCATTATTTGAATCATAAATTTCACTATCGTTTGAATTATTTCCACTTGGATTTTCATCATAATTGCAATTGTGATAAATTTTTAAAATTTCGTTGATTTTATCATCATTATTATCAATATACACCCAACAATATATTAAAACAACCAAATATAAATATAAAAAATAATTTGAATTAATTAATAATTTTTTTAAAAAGAATAATATATACATACCATTTAGAACTTTATAATTCATTTCGAAATAAATTTTTTTTAAAAAAAAGAAAATTTACCTGTCAATGTAATGCGAATATGATTTGATAAATTAGTTTAAACAGTTAAATCCTAAATATTTCATCCAGATTTGGTGATAACCATTTATCACATCTAGAGGTTGGTATTGCACAAGATTCTTTAATTTTAGTTGTGTGAAAAATTTTAACTGGCAAATCGTTCATTACTTACA